GCGCTGTGGGGCAGGGAGCGGGGGGGGGGGCTCAGCAGGGGGCGCTCTCCCCTGGCAGGCGGGGCTGGCCCCAGGGCGGCACTAGGGGGCGCTGTGGGGCAGGGAGCGGGGCAGGGGCTCAGCAGGGGGCGCTGTGCTGTGGGGAGTGGGGTGGGGCAGCCGGGGGGGCCAGGGCACATGGGGCTGGGGTCCCTGGTGTCTCAGCCTCTCTCCCCTCCCCCCCCCAGGAAGCGGGCCATGATTATCAATAATGCCCTGGCCTTCCTGGGAGGGGCCCTCATGGGGCTGGCCAAGCTGGGCTGCTCCTACGAGATGATGATCCTCGGCCGGTTCCTGATTGGTGCCTACTCAGGTAACGGACAGCGCCCGTGGGCCAATCGGATGACGGGGGCTGGGAGGGAGGAGCTCTGGGGGCCCCGCTCTCTCCCACAAAGCAGCATGGGGGTGAGGGGTGAGGCCAGGGGGTGGGGGATGGGTGGTGCCATGGGTCGGGGGTGTGGGGGAACCTGGGTGGATGGATGGATGGGGTGGTGGATGCCGGGCGATGTAGGGTGCGGGGTGGGGGGTGGGATCTGGGTGGATGAGCAGTGGGTGCTGTGGGGACTGGTTGCGTGGGGTGCCCCGGGACCTGGGTGGGGGGCCGTCATTGGGTTCTGCATGTCACAGGTACCACCCCCACCCCTCCCACCATGACTCAGTCATTAGCATACAAGCCCCACCTTTTAAAGGGGGCGCTGTGTATGTGGGGGAGGGGTCACCACCCTCTGCCTCAACTCCCCCCCACAGACCTAGGGGGCACGCTCCCCCCCCCCCCCCGCCCACACCTCCTACTAATCTGCGGTTCCCCTCTCTCTCCCAGGGCTGGTTTCTGGCTTGGTCCCCATGTACGTGGGTGAAATTTCCCCCACCCACCTGCGGGGGGCGCTGGGGACCCTGCACCAGCTGGCCCTCGTCATCGGGATCCTCATTGCCCAGGTAACAGGCCCTTGGGGGCGCTGTGCGGCGGGGGGGGGCGGGGGATCGGCCGCGGGCGGGGGGGGGGCCAGTGGGCGGCGCCGTCCTGAAATCTCTCTCTATCTCCGCCCCCGGCAGGTGTTTGGGCTGGACTCCCTCCTCGGCACCCCCGAGCTCTGGCCCCTGCTCCTGGGTCTGACCGTGGCCCCCTCGGCCCTTCAGCTGGTCATGTTCCCCTTCTGCCCCGAGAGCCCCCGGTACCTCTACATCATCCGCAACAAGGAGTCCAAGGCCAAAGAGAGTGAGTGTCCCACCGCGGGCCCTCTCCCACCCGTCCCCATCCGTCCGTCCGTCCATCTGTCTGTCCATCCCTCCCCTCTTCCGCCCGCCCACTCGTCCTTCCGTCTGTCCATCCCTCCCCTCTTCCACCCGCCCATCCGTCCTTCCGTCTGTCCATCCCTCCCCTCTTCCGCCCGCCCACCCGTCCTCTCTTCCGCCCGCCCGTCCTTCCATCTGTCCATCCATCCCCTCTCCCGCCCGCCCCATCCGTCCGTTCGTCCATCTGTCCATCCCTCCCCTCTTCCGCCCGCCCACCCGTCCCTCCGTCTGTCCATCCATGCCCTTCGCCCACCCATCTGTTCTTCCGTCTGTCCATCCGTCCCCTCTTCCGCCCGCCTACCCGTCCTTCCGCCCATCCATCCGTCCCCTCTTCCGCCCGCCCACCCATCCGTCCGTCCATCCGTCCGTCTGTCCATCCCGTCCCCTCTTCCGCCCGCCCACCCGTCCTTCTGTCTGTCCATCCCCTCTCCCACCTGCCCACCCGTACGTCCGTCTGTCCATCTGTCCCCTCTTCTGCCCGCCCACCCGTCCTTCTGCCGCCGCCATCCTTCCGTCTGTCCATCCATGCCCTCTTCCGCCCGCCCACTCGTCCTTCCGTCTGTCCATCCCCTCTCCCACCCGCCCACCCGTTCGTCCGTCTGTCCATCCGTCCCCTCTTCCGCCCCCCACCCGTCCTTCCGCCCGCCCATCCTTCCGTCTGTCCATCCATCCCCTCTTCCGCCCACCCATCCATCGGTCCATCTGTCCATCCATGCCCTCTTCCGCCCGCCCACCCGTCCTTCCGTCTGCCCATCCATCCCCTCTTCCGCCCGCCCATCCATCGGTCCGTCTGTCCATCCAACCCCTCTTCCGCCTGCCCACCCGTCCGTCTGTCTGTCCATCTACCCCCTCTTCCGCCCATCCTTCCGCCCATCCATCCCTCCCCTCTTCCGCCCGCCCACCCATCTGTCCGTCTGTCTGTCCATCCGTCCCCTCTCCCGCCCGCCCACCCGTCCGTCCGTCTGTCCATCCCTCCCCTCTTCCACCCACCCACTTATCCATCTGTCTGTCCATCTCTCCCCTCCTTCGCCCGCCCACCCGTCCTTCCGTCTGTCCATCCC